CTCGCGTCTTGAGACGAGGCGTTGTGGACATCGACCCGGTCTGGAATATCATGGCGGAGGTAACGGGCTATATCTGCCTATACGCTCTGGGCGCAGAGCTAATGGCCTCCGATTCGGCCGACAATGCTGAGAATCAAGCTGCCTCCCGGAGCACGGGCACCGCAGGGGACCCAGCCATTGCCGAGCCCTACGACACCAACGCATTGCAGCTGAACCAAGCTGCCTCTCAGAGCACCGTTACTGCTGACAAGCCAGTCATCGTCGCTGAACCTGACGACATCAACGTATTGCAGCTGAGGAATCGCAAAGTCCTCAGAACGCCGGCTAAAGCGAGACGCGGCGCTCTGTATTAACTTGCTCTCTAGCATAATCCCATTCTACAAGCGTAAAAACAACTCACATGAAATGTTGTAGTCTGTGTTTATTGTCGACAATAAAAACCATGAACAAACCCATACATCATTTGTACACTTTTTATTATCTTGCACAGAATACGTTCAGAGACCGTCTTCTTGTCCTTCTCCTTCTTGGAAAGGATGATCAGCAGTCTCCTAAAAATGCTAATGAAATCAAGAAACAAGGTCAAACAGTGCCAGATGTAGTCCTTGTCCCCGTTCTCCGCTTTCTCGATAATGAGCTGAGTATTAAACAGGACAAAACCGCACATGACGAGCGGTCCCAGGTATGTGTTCGCCTCAAACAGAAGCGTAGTTCCGAAGAACACGTTCGTCAGAGAGACCAGTAACAGGATAGAAAAGCCGGACATGAGTGTGCCTCGGAGGAACAGGTGGCTCCTGTGTGTGTCGCACAAGGCGCTGAGAGTGAAGCAGATGAAAATCACAGAGGTTCCCACGAAGGCGGTCACGATGATAATCGGATCGACGGCGATGACACTGTCCAGTATGGGTCCAAGGCTAAAACCTGCGAGAAAGGCAAATCCTTCGAGGATAGCCAGTCTTTTCCTTTCTGTCTCAGGGTTATGGGGGGTCACGGCAAACCAGATAAACAACCCCAGTGACGTGAGGGTAGCCACCGCAAGACAGATCAACAACCCCAGGACTGCGAGGGGGGACACCGCACTCACTGTAACCAGGAGTGCGACCAGATAGATGTAGACGTAGGAGCCGACAGCGGCCAGACACATGCAAATTGCCAAGCTTGAGTACACGTTTTTCAAGTGCTCCAGGGTGGAGTGCGATATGTGGGAGAACTGGAAGAGAGCGTCTGTCTCGCTGTGGTCAAACACATTCATGGTGAAACCAGAGACTGTGATCGGATGATGTGTCCTATAATATTGGTTTGTAATGAGTCAGTGCACACGGTACAAAAAAAAACAGAGTTCAATCACCAAGCGTATTCACCGTATCGGCAATAAAAATACAGAACCAAGATGAGTCTGAGGTTTTTGGTTTATATTTGAATATCGACTGATCTCGACTTCTCAATAAATAAAAAATAAAACCAATGTAACCACCAGATGCGGGAGCTCGACAAATGAACATATGTTTCCCCATTTGTTAACGTCATTTCAACCGCACCTTATTCATATCCTCACCCCACCAATTCTCTATATTAATGATACTTCTCCAGAGAGAAATCAACTACTGCATTGACCAACCATTCAGTGAA